CCAGAGTCCCCAGGCTCCGCTTCCTCAGTGGAAGACGTGCCGGTGGGATTGAGGAGGTCTTCAAAGTATTCCGCCCACCGACCCACAACATCCCGAATTGAGGTCAGCAGCACACCACTCCCACTATAAACAGTGTTGGTGGTGTACCGCTTTCCCCCCCTGAGACGCCGGATGGTGGACCAGAATCGTCTCGAAGCCGTGCGGAAGTCATTCTCCATGGCCTCTCCGAACTCCTCCCATGCCTGAGTTTTTGCCTCAGCGACCACCCGAGCCGCATGTCGCTTGGACTGTCGGTACCCATCAGCTGCTTTCAGGGTCCCACAGGCCAAAAAGGCCCAATAGGACACCTCCTTCAGCCTGACCGCATCACTCATCCCTAACTGGATAACAATTGTGAATAATTTTGTAGGAAATTTCTTTTACTTTATTATTTATTAAGTATTTCTTTGGAAGTAACCAAGTCCACTTCCAATTTATATTTCCAAAGATGTTGGACCAATAAAATGTACAAGCTGGTGGAAAGACGATGTCTCTTAAAATAATATTTCTTAATGTTTTGTTAGTTGTTTTCTTACTTATATAAAGACAATCATAGTCAATATAAATGGAACCTGGATCAAAACATGGCATCGAATGAGTTGGACCTGGAGGTATAATATAGTATTACTTGAAAAAAAAAAAAAGTATTACTTTGTATTTTGGTCTAGAGCTCATTTTGACGTCAGACTAGAACCCGGAAGTAAAACCCGGAAGTGAAATGTATATTTATTTAAAGGTATACAGTATATATTTATTTTTATTTACTTACCTGTAGGTTTGTTCTAATGCATATTTCGAAATAGTTTAAGCAGTGACAAAGTGATAAATACCTAAATTAAATAACGTATTTAACTGAATAAGGGTTGTCTGCGGTGCATGTCCAGTTCATCCATTAAACGTTAAAATAGGTAGTGGACACTTTGAAATGTGAATTTGACTTGTAGGAATATTTTGTAGGTGTCTTCTGATTATTTTTGAACATTATCTTGACTAGGAGTAAAATTGTTAAAACATGGTTTAATTACATGGCACTTAAAAGCGAATACTATCTGCTTTAGAAAGAAGAAAGACAAAAAAGAAGCTTTTTTATTACATTTATTTGTTTATTGGACTTTTGCTCCCACATTTGTTATTCATAACAGTGGCTGGTAAATATGTAGCAACATCACAAAGAACAATGGTCAAGAGATAATGTAAAAAAAGTCAAACACTGGGGAAAAGGTGCACGTGTCAGCAGTTCTAGCCTCCGAGCTCTGACCAAAGGTAAGAGAAGTCAGAACCGGAGTGGCCTTGCAGAGTTTTGACAAGTTGCAGAAAAAAAAGGAGATTGATTTTTATTTTTTTTAATGTGACCCTAAGTCTCGTCACCAGTAAAGCAGAGTTTTCACTACATGAATAAATAAAAAAAGTTCAATAAATATAACAAATATAAAAAAATATATTCTTGAATCAAAATAAATACAAATATTTGACACAACATAAAGTGCGGTTTCGCCACTTCAAACTCAAAACGTTGTTCAGTTTCTAAACATTGGGTCCATGTCTGCTTAAAGTACAACAACACCATAAGGAAGAAAATAAAACCATCAAACTGAACTGGAACAGATGTTCATGTGTCCATCTTTAGGCGAACAATTCATCTAATCACAAGATCTACAGACATTTATCAGACTTGTAACGTGTTGCACTAATGATACTCTGTAACCCTACAACCTCTGGAGTCAAGTGGTCCACAAGACGGGGGTTTAAGACTGCGCCGAGTCCTAAAAACCACATTCTCTACAACACAAAACTCAAACAAGACCACAACACTAAGACGCTCTGAAGAAATCTACTCCGGGATTCAGCCTCCTGACTTTTCACTGACAGGGACGCTCAGCTTTAAGGAACTGGGCATCAATGAATTGCATATAGTCGGACATTTAAACACAAAAACAACTAAAATCCTCACAGTTCCAAAATAAAAGCACTGGCACCGTTCCGTCACATTTCAGATTACACAACGAACTGTTCTCGTACAAAAGTGTGAACGAAAGAACACACTTTTATCCCTAAGTATGCTTCTGTCTGCCTCATCACATCACGATAAGCACATTTCTATATCAGCCTAAAATATACAATTATACATCAGCAGACACAAATCAAACAAAACGTTTGCTTGGCTTTTACATATTTTTATATTCCTCTCTTTTAGATCACAATGTAAACTGGAGACACCACAACAGAAAGTGACGTTGGCAGCACATTGCATAGCGTCCCTGTGCAAATTAATCTAGTCTTCCTTTTCAAGCCCACTGACCGTCAGCCCTTAACAAAAACTCTCCGCTCAGCCGTCTAACTCCGTCTCTGCGAACGTTTTTGGTCTCTTGGTCCAGTTTCTGGCACGTTTGCTGCACTGTTCAGTGCGTCACACAGGAATAATCTTTGTCCACCCCCCTTTTTTTTAGTAAAAGTAGTCTTGAGGAAAGAAAGTGTAGCGCGTGTTAGATTAAAGCGAAGTGGAGCGATGTGAAAATGTTATGAACAATTAATATCTTACCTGTCATAGATAAATCTTTGAACAACCCAAGTTTGGAGAACTAGTGAACACCCACAGCAGCGGACTACAACAGTTATATTTCTTGCTTTTTTATTGTTTCTTCACACCAGAAGGTTGAAATTATAGTTTTGTGTCACAATTAATTTTCATATAAAAATAAACAAAGAAAGAAGCTCCTCCAAGAGAGATGGCTACATATTTTTGTCATTTACCCTTTATTTATCCAGGTAGTCTCACTGAGTCATGACAACTCATTTTCTAGAGAGACCTGTTTAGGAGCAGGTGGTGGAGGTTAAGGGCCGTGCTCAGGGGCCCAGAGTGGGGCCATTGAGGGTGGAGGCAGGTGTGGGTGAAATTTAATATAATTTTAGCCAGGAATTGTGTCAACATACCTTTTTCGCCATAATCCAATAGCAGCACAATAAGAAACTGATAGCAATGGTTTTTAAAATAAATGTTATAAAAGGTTTGAGAATTAATTTAAGATGGCATAAATCCCTTCAGGGCTGTTGGCTCATCAGTCTGGACAGAAATGAGTGTTTCTGATTCAAAACGAGGTCGTTTAATGAGCCCTCTAAAGCAGGCATGTGCACCTGTTACCAAGCAGGAGAGTAAATAATAGTGTGAATGTTTATGACTGGGATCCATTTTTCTTTCATAAGTTTTTCGGCATCTTTCTCGATCCACAATTTTTTTTTTTTTTTTTTTGCTATTTCAGCAAATCATATCAAAACATTCAGCTCGTTCAGGAGAAGGGTGATATGACTTTTGATATTGGTGCAACTTTAGCTTTTGGAAATATTTAGCCTTTTCTGCCATTTTTTTCCTCGTATAAATGAACTGAGTTCATTTTACATCCTTCAAATCTTTAGCTGTGTTTACAACCTTTTACTGCTCCTTTTACATCTTGTTCTGCTTCAGCTTCTTTCAGCTTCCTTGAGCAAATGCAAACTTTTTTCCAGTTACTTTCAGTTAATTTCAGCTTATGCTCCTTTCTCCTTATTCATGCAAGTTTAAACTTTTTCTGCTATTTCAGCTACTACTGCTATGTAGCTTTATGCTAATTTTAGTCTGTTCAGCTAATTCCACATTTTTTGCAATCATTTAAACTTTTTACAGCCTAATTCAGCAAAAATGTGCTCTCAGCACTTCCTTCTGGTAATTTAAGCTTTTTTTCTGCCTTTCAAGCTACTTTTCAGCTATTTTTTAAGCTAATTTCAGCTACTTTCAGATAAATTTTTGTTTTTTGTGGGCATTTCTGCTCATTTTAGCCTAATTAATGTCTTTATGCTAATTTCAGCTTGTTATGCTCCTTTCAGCTAGTTTCAGCTTTTTATACTATTTCAGCTACTATTTAGCTGTTTTATGCTAATTTTGGCTATTTCAGCTAATTCCACATTTTTGGAGCTTGTTTCAGCTCTTTCTAATAATTTAAGCTACCTTTTCAGCTACTTTTCAGCTGTTTCTTTATTAATTTCAGCTTCTTCTTCTTTTTTTTAGCTAATTTCCTAATTTTTGTGTAAATTTCTGCTCATTTAAACCTAATTCAGCAAATATGTGTTCTTTCATCTGTAGTTTAGGCTTGTTCTTCTATTACAGCTACATTTCAGCTGTTTTTCAGCAAGTTCTTCAGCAATAATAATTTACACAGCATTTTTGCAGGAAATGTATTTTTCTAGTCATTAACTGCATGTAGACATATTGTTCATGTTCTTATAATGTAACAGGACCAACAGCAAGAAGTCTCTGTTATCACGGCATGCTACTTAGACAAAGATGTCAGATTCAGCCTTAATCTTTTTTCTTTTAAGCTGTCATGCAGATCTAATCCAGATGTGGATATTTACAAAAGCTTTTATTTTCCCAAAGTTTAGCACTTATTTGAAATGTTTTTTTTTTTTTAAGTAATTTGCAATTACAACTTTAAAATCTGAATCATGCTTTTGTTTTATTGCTGGAAGAGATCATTTTGATGGCAAACTGTAACAGTGCACGGCCACTTAGAAAAAATGGGGGTGCAGCTGATCCACTGATCAGGTGTCTCTGACAGCAGGTAAGATATTAATCATCCATAAGCTTTCCATGGAAACCCACATCCAAGTATGTGAACTATTCCTTTAAAACAGGGTGCCCAGACTTTTTCAGCATGCGAGCTCCTTTTAAAATGACCAAGTCAAAGCGATCTACCTACTATAAGGCCCCGTTTACACGAGAACAACCTCTGGAAACATTAGTGCTTTTTAATGTTTACTGGAGGTAATAAACAAAAAATGAATGGGTTTACACAAAAACACAGTAGTTTCTGTGTCAGTCGGGTTGCCAGATAAGAAATGATGAACTATAGTACTGTGGCTTTAAAGTGACAGTATTTTGACCTAAACTGTCATGTGTGCTGAGTCAAATATTCTAGGATGAGGTGTGTGTTGTGTTTGTTGAGCACGTGCACAGAAAAGGAGGGGGTAAATAAGACATTTAAAATTGATCTGGCAACCCTCATTGTGCATGCAGCATGTGCATGATCACAGTTAGTCCAAACTGGTGGACACACCAACGTTTCTTTGGAACTGGATTTTATTAGTTTTGCTTCTACAAGCTGAAAAAGGGCGAGCAGCACAAGAACACTCTGCTCTCTGACATTTATTATAACTGTTATTTATTATAACTGTTGTTATTTATTATAACTGTTGTTATTTATTATAACTGTTGTTATTTATTATAACTGTTGTTATTTATTATAACTGTTGTTATTTATTATAACTGTTATTAGTACAGGAAAACTTAGACTGCAGCCGCCTGTAGTGTGCATGTGCCACTTTGTTTGTGGAGCGTTTCACATCTACGTGTGTGTGTGTTTGTGTGTGTGTGTTTGTGTGTGCGTGTTTGTGTGTGCGTGTTTGTGTGTGTGTGTGTTCCCCGGCTGTTGTGTAAATGAACGGCCGAACGTTTCACGTTGTGTAAACAGGGCCTCAGACTGGCTGCCCTGTCTGTCAATCAAGTGACATATTTCATTGTGAGGATGGATGATGGGCTGACGTCCATGTTTTAATGCCATGCGATCTGCCCAAAATACATTTGAGATCAACTTGTAGATCTCCATCGATGGACTGGGCACCACTGGTTTAAAAGAACTGGTCTGAAATGCGAGTAATGCCCATATTTTCAACCAGAGCTCTCCTTGTTCCCACTCAGGTCAAAGTGTGTTAAGTTGAAAGGTTGTTCACAGTGTTTCTATGGTTTCTTCATTAGTTTAGTTTTTTAAGTATCTTTTGTTTTTCCACACGCAGACATGCGTTAAGACTGATATGACACATGTTAGGATGAACATACAGTACAGGTCCACACCGTGTGCCCACCAGGAGCTGATGAAGTTTTTTGACATCTTGCCTACAAATTGTTTGGTGTTTGTTTTTCTTCACTTCAGGTATTCATGCCCCCCCCCCCCCCCCCCCAGTATGAAGTCTTGATATGTCGGTGTGACGCTACAGTAAAAGGCATTACTCAGGACAGCTTCGATCTTTACGTACTCCTTTCGTCACGAATGATGTTTGGAGCTCCGAGTTTTCTCAGAGTGAGCGCTGCTGGAGCTGCCGGAAGCTGAGCCTTGACCCATCCGGCGGACACCCCCAGATGTAGCTTCTGTTTTCCCCCCTGAGCCCCCCTTCCTCTCCTCGCTTGTCTTTGGGGTGTCTTTCGACTTGCCCGTCTCCTGCGAGCCCCCCTTCATGGGCCCCAGCACGGTTTTGGCCACGCTTGTGAGTTGCGTGACGAAGCTGGCTTTGTCCCCGGGGGACATGGGGCGCGACTTGTTTGAGGGGGGCGAGACTGAGGAGGGGGACACGGGGTTCTCTTCCAGGGCCTCCAGGTGAGCCCTCTCCTCCTTGGGGCCACGGCTGCAGACTGCGGGTCTCTCTGCTCGGTGTCTGGCTGTGGAGGGGGGCTGAACCTGGACTGAGGCTGTGGGTGCAGGTCCTTTGGTCTTTGTTGCTTCAGTTGCTTTTTCACTTCCACTGGCACCTCCTTTCTCTCCCACTTCCGGGCCTTTACGATGTTTGGACTGCAAGTTGGTTTTGTCCCCCCCTCCGGCACCTTTCTCCTTCTCTTCTGTCTTTTCCTGAGCTTTGGGTGCAGCTCTGCAGTCTGTCTGCTGCAGGCTCTTTGGACCTGGGGTTGAGGTTTTGTCGCTGGGTTTGCTCTGGAGGACCGCTGCATCAGAGCGTGAAGCGTCTGGAGGTTTCCCAGGACTGGACCTGGTCTCTCTGTGTGAAGGAGCAGACTTCAGAGCGACTGCAGACGATGAAGTCTTGCTCCTCTCCACCTCACTGCTCCTCCACTCTGCTGAGGGGACTCTCCTCTCGTTCTGTGACCCAGCGTGCTCAGGCGCTGTCGTTACGTCTTTCTCTTTATTCGTTACGAGCACGTCCCTGCTGAGCGGCGACTCCTGCCTCCCCAGCCTCCTCGCCTGACTCAGGCCCCCCATCTCTGCTCCCATAGGAGGAGAAGGAGAGGAAGATGAGGACGGAGATGGAGGAGCAGGTCCGTTCTCCCCTTCGATCTCGAGTAGGCTCTGCAGACTGTGCTCACAGTGGAAGGACTCCCTCCTGTAGTCCCCGTGGGTCACCTCAAGGCTGTGCTTGCGCAAAGACACCCCGCCTGTCAGCGGAGACGGCGATGACGACGACGAAGAGGAGGACGGGAGGATCGGCGCCCCTAGCTTCTCCGCGGACTGCACCCGCTGCAGCAGGGGGGACCTGGGCGGCTCGGCGCTCTTGGGCCGAGGGCGAGCGACGGGAGGCGAGGAGTGCAGCTTAGCGGGAAACGTTTGGGTGGTGTTGGAGCTCCCCACCGTGTGCCCGGTGAAAGGCGGCGGGGAGGAGGTGGTGGGGGACGGGGTGTGGGCGAGAGGGGAGAGTGGGATGTTGCCGGCAGATTTGCAGCGTGCGGAGCGGTACTGTCGGTGAAGTTTGGGGGACAGGCCGTGCAGAGAGCTGGGCCTCATGTGGTGAGACTGAGCCGGGGAGTTGGGGGTGCTCGATGCCGGGGAGCTGCTCTGGGAGGAGGTGCCTGAGGAGAGACGAGGAAACAGTTTTGAGTACAAGTACCAGCGTATTTTTATTCCATGTTCTAAAATGAGTGTACCGGTCTGACCCAGGTAAGAGGACTCCAGTGTGGAGCGGTACGTCTGCGTGGGAGAGCGGGCAGACAGGCTGTGGGTGGGGGACCCTGGGAGGCTGTCTCCAGAGGACAGAGAGCGGTTGAGAGACGACAGGCTCCGGCTGGTGTGGAGCAGGTTGGACTGCTTCGTGATTTTCCTGAACAGGGAGCTGCGTTTCTTACTGAAAGATAAAATACGTCAAGATGAGATAAATTATGGAGGGTGTAAATGTGGCTTCAGCATGAATCAACCTGAAGAAGATGAAGAACACAGAACTCGCAGGTGATTTTTGTAAAGAGTGGGCGCAGAATATTATTTTACCGGCATTTGTGAACAGCCAGGACAAAAAAGATGCAGCTGTAGGTACTATCTGAACCATTCGACATCAAAGAAAACATGAAAGGCTCAAACACGCAAAAGCTTAAAGACCTGCTGTTTAAAATTAAAATCAGCCGAGTGGGAAAACTTTGCTGTGCCGCTAAAGGTGGGCAGCTGCTGTGGAAGGAAATGAAATGTATGGCAAGCAGTTGTATTGAATAATTAGTGCTTTGAAAAACACTGTTAAATAGTGTGAATGTTTATAAGGCCTTCACACTATTATGATCCATTTTTCTTCTGTACCTTTTTCTGCATCTTTCTCATTCCACGATTGTTGTGCTACTTCAACAAATCATAGATCAAAACGTTCAGCTCGTTACTTTGGTTTTGGTGCAACTTTAGCTTTTTGAAATATTTAGCCTTTTCTGTCACTTTTTTCTCCTCATAGAAAATGAATTGAGCTCATTTTACATCCTTCAGATCTTTAGATCTGTTTACAACCTTTTACTGCTCCTTTCACATTTTGTTCTGGTTCAGCTTCTTTCAGCTTCCACGTGAAAATTTACACTTTTTTTCAGCTACTTTCTGCTAATTTCAGCTGCTTCTTCAGCTGTTTTGTAATCCTTTCAGATTCTTTCTGCTAACTACAACATTTTTGTGATTCTTCTGACTTATTTCTGCTAATTTCACATTTTTCTGCTCCTTTTTGCTGCTCCCCTTGGGGTCTATTTTGAGGAAACATGGTCTTTTGTTTCATTGCTATGCAGATGATCGTCAGATTTATCTGCCCTTAAAACCAACTAGTTCATGCAAAATTCACTCTGTTAAAAAGTGTTGACGACATTAAAGCATGGACGACTTCAAACTTTTTAAGTTTCTACGATCAGAAAACTGAAGTCTGTCTCTGTTCCTGTAAAGCTTGACTCTCTTGAGTCATACTATCTTAAGCAGTATGTTCCAAATCTCAGGATGGTTTTAGACTCTGACTTTAAGTTTAATAAACAACTCAACTCCTTTCTTCAGAAAAGCTTCTTCCAGTTAAGGCAGATAGCTAAGCTTAAGTCAGAGTTGACCAGATCTGACCTTGAAATAATAGTCCATACATTTGTTACAACGCGGCTGGACTACTGTAACACGCTTTATGTTGGGGTTATTCAGGTCTCCCTTTCACGTCTCCAGCTCGTCTTAAATGCTGCAGCCCGACTATTAACATGAACTCATAGGTTTGAGCACTGGTTCTGTCCTCCCTTCACTGGCTCCCTGTGCATGTCAGAATAGATTTTAAAATTCTCCTATTGATCTTTCAGTGCATTAATGGCCTTGCACCCTCATTCCTCTCTGACTTACTTCAACCATATGTTCCTTCCCGGGCGCTGAGATCGTCTGATCAGCTGCTTTTGGTTGTACCAAAAACCAGGTTGAAGCTCAGAGGAGATGGGGCTTTTTCAGTCTTGGACCCTAAACTCTGAAACAATCTGCCCCTCAACATTAGACAGACCACTTCACTTCCTGTTTTTAAATATCTCCTAAAAACACATCTGTTTTCTCTGATGTTTAACACAGTATGATTTGATTTAGTATTTCATCGTTTCTCATCGTTTTTGTGTTTTTATTTTGAATGCTTTTAATTACATCTTATTATTATTTTTTCTTTAATTACTGTCTTGATCTTATTGTTAAGCACTTTGGTAACAGCTGCAGTTTTAAATGTGCTTTATAAATAAATTTGACTTGGCTTGATTAATGTTTTAGCCTCATTAATAAACAACAGGAGAGTAAGATTTTCTAACTGAGGAACGCACTCTTGTCCCTCTTTGACCCCTGTCCTCTTGCTGCGCCGTGCCATCTTGGATTTGTAGCTGGACTTGCGTGCAGGGCCCACTTTTATCGAGGTGTTCTCAAAGGGGGTCGTTGTGACTGTCACTTTGTTTCCACTCTGTGGACGACACATTTAATTAGTCCCATTCCTCTACGTGCATATCCGAAACAGATTTCAGTCGAAACGTCTCCCACCTTCAGGATGAGCTCCACCACCTCGGTGTGCACAAGACCATGAACCGACTCCCCGTTCACGTGAGTAATGAGGTCACCAGCTTTAAGTCCAGCCTCCTGGGCGGGGCCTCCATCCTCCACATGCTGAGACAGAAAGAGACCATTTAATATAAATCCCTCTATTAACACATATTAACCTAAATATCAATTACATACCACATCTTTTTTACTTTTAACAACACATAATCAGATTTGAAAGCTATATCTAATAACTAAAAATATAAGAGTCTGAACAAGCTTATGATATCAAACTGGAAAAAGTTTGGTTGTTTGTTGGGAAAATATTTAAATAACCTTACGATGGATTTTAATGAAATTCTCAGGAGGTAATTATTGGGTGTGCATCTACAACTGATTAACATTTTGGAGTAAACCACAATCAAAATGGATGCCACCGCTAATCAACATTAGGCCATGCAAAAACAGCTAAAACTCGGTTGATTTTAAAGATATTGAGCTGAATTTGGATGTGGTGGTAGCTGAGCATTGCTGAGAACAGATGGCTGTGAGCTCACACCTGATGCTGTTATCAAGATTTGGTTAAAATAACCACGACTCCATCCTTTCTCATCATGAAATGATTTAATTCAAAACTCTGACTCTGAAAGGTGGAGGGCATGCTTTATGTTGGATCCTTCATTTCATTTAGTAAACAGGGTTTTGAATCACAAAGAGTCAAATAAATAAACTGGTTGTGTGTTCTCACCCAGACCATGTGATGCAGGCTGTAAACGTCACTGTCACCAATGTAGACTCGAATCGCTCGGAGGGTGAAGCCGTACTTCTTCCCGGAGCGGTGGATGGTGATGGGAGAGTGCAGGACGTTCACCGTGGGGCAGAAGTCTCGGCTGGGAGAGGAGTCGCGAGATGAGGGGTTGGACGAGACGGAGTGGGGAGACATGGGGCTCGGCAGAGGGGAGGCAGCGTGTTGCTCCACTGAGGAAAGAAGGTTGTCATCATGTTAAAGGATTCTGGGATATGGGAGACTGTGGTGAAGTGACGATTCAACTTAGTCTGCTGCTTCCTTAGATCGATCACTTTACTAACTGACTGTTTTAATGTGTGTGAATGTTTCTGTACAGTGCCCTGAGACGACTTCTGCTGTGACTTGGTGCCAGCCAGCCAGTCCAGCTACCCTGCGGAGGAAACTCATTTCAACCGCTTGTATCCACAATCTCATTCTTTCAGTCACTACCCAGAGCTCATGACCATAGGTGAGGGTAGGAACATAAACCGACCGGTAAACAGAGAGCTTTGCTTTACAGCTCAGCTCTCTTTTCACCACAATGGACCAGTACAGAGTCCACAATACTGCAGATGTTGCACCAATCTGTCTGTTAATCTCACGCTCCATTCTTCCCTCACTCGAGAACAAAACCCCGAGATACTTGAACTTCTTCACTTGATGCAGAACCTCACCCTCGACCTGAAGAGAGCAGTCCACCCTTTTCCACTTGAGGACCATGACCTCAGATTTGGAGGTGCTGATTCTCATCCCAGATGCTTCACACTCTGCTACGAACCGCTCCAGTGAGAACTGAAGATCACAGCACGATGATGCCAACAAGACCACATCATCTACAAAGAGCAGAGCTGAAATCCTGAGGCCACCAAACTGAAAACCCTCCGCCCCCTGGCTGCACCGAGAAATTCTGTCCATGAAAGTTATGAACAGAGTCATGACAACGGGCAGCTTTGGTGGAGTCCAACTCCCACCCTGAAGGGGTCCGACTTACTGCCGGTGTTACACCATATTCTGTGACCACCGTATATTGTAACCGTAGGGGGCGCTGTTGCATTTTTACATCATACTTTGCAATACCTGATAAACACCATCATATTCTGTGACCGTCTATATTTCCATAATAGTCATGATTTTAGTGAGCAGATGTTCATTTTTATTGTTTGGAGGAAGGAGGCTGACTCTCTCCTTCCTCCAAAGAATAAAAACTAAAATCTGATCACTAATATCACGACTATTATGGAAATATAGACGGTCACAGAATATGATAGCGCTTATCGGGTATTGTGACCACACTGTAACTTATAGAAAAAAATCAAATACTTGAGCCAAACTGTTTCTGCTGAGTCTCTACTTCCTCTAAGGAATAAAAAGTAACATCTGCTCACTAATATCATGAAGATTATGAAAATATAGACAGTCACAGAATATGATAGTGTTTATCACATATTGCAAAGTATGGTGTAAAAATGCAACTGCGCCCCCTACGGTCACAATATACAGTGGTCACAGAATATGGTGTAACACCGGCAATGTGAACCAAACTCTTGCACTGCTTGTTTAGGCACCGAACAGCCCATAACAACGGGCCCCAATCCCATACTCATGGAGCACCCCCCACAGTGTCCCCCGAGGAACTGGCTCTATATAAAATGGCATGCGGCTTTACCTGCTGGAATGATGACAGACAGCGCCGTCGCAGAGGCAGATTTGATCACTTTAGTTCCTGGTCGTGAGATCTGCTTTTCTCCCTCCATGGAGAGCTGTTGGTGTCGGACCCTTCGCAGCACCAGATCTGTGGTAGCTTGGCGGGGCCCCTGGGGGTCAGGAGGTCCCAGACTTGGCAGAGGCAGCGATGCATCAGCAGGTCTCAAAAGTTTGTCTGAGTCCAGGTGAAAGAATAAAAGCCAGCAGTGTTTTGATCCTCCTTACGTTTGGATTACAAATCATATTTCTCAGTGCTCCCTCTTACCTCCTGCAGTGACGCCGTTACCGTCTTTTGACAAGATTTTCGAATCTTCCAGGGAAGCACCTCTGGTCTTCACAGGGGGCTGCTTTCCTGTTAAAGACAGCTCAGAGTCCAGCTCTAGTGGGGAGGCGAAGCGGTACGTATCCATGAGGGCGGAGAAGCGCCTGCGGGCCCCTGACGGCGGGCTGGACTCCAACTCAGTGAAGAACGACTCGGAGCAGGACAAGCGCTTCCTGGAAAAGAAAAGCCATCGCTCAAAGCATCGCCTGCAGCTGACACTCAGTGAGACTAGGCGGCATGATGCTTTCCCCACTCACATCTCAGGAGAGCCGGTCCTCCAGCTCTTGTCTCTGAGGGTGACTCCTCCCAGGCTTTCTCTCTTGGTCACCCGGTCCTCTCTGGGTACTTTGTGTTCCCTCAGAGTCACAGCGTGAGGTTTGTGCTCCAGCTGGGACAGATGCTCCATGCTGCTGTACACCTTCAGGTCCACACAGCGTTTCAGTTAATATTTGCAAGCAACAACTTGGAAAACATACAATATATACACGTGTGTCAGTTCTGGACCTTGCTGAAGCGAGGGGAGCAGGAGGAGAAGCGATGGATCTCCACAGGCTCGTCGTCGTTGGTGTCGTCTTCATCGTACGACTGCACGTGATGGTAGCGCTCAGAGCGGGCTGGTGGTGAGAAGAGGTAATGTTAGACGTAAGTGCAAACCTTAAATAAGACTCCATGCATGCACTAAACAGACATATTCAAGCCCTATAATTGACATTTGACTTGTTTTTATACTTTAAGCCAGTGTTGTTGTTGCTCCTCCAGCAGAGCCTGCAGGGAGAACCTACTGTCAAAATAACTGGTGTCTTCCTCTGACTCCAGGTGAGGAATGAACTCTGCTTTCTGTCTCAGCAGGCTGTTCCAGTCCACCTCTGTGAAGAACGAGTGCTGCTTGACTTCAAAAGCACCACCTGGAGGGGCAGCGGAGAGGAAGGAGGCGGTTGCATGCATAAGAAAGGAGCAGGTGGAAAAACAGATAGCCTGCGGAGGTGCTCTGACTGTGACAGGAGGTGACTGATTTAGGTACACGAAACCCACAAGCTGAAATAAATGACGACAGGCTCCTGGGTCGTGGAGTAATATTATAATTGTTGGTGAACACAAGAAAACGTCCAGTGGTGCAGGAAGAATTTATTCGCTTTATTTTGAGGACAGTTCAGATCCTATAAAGTGGGCTTCTGTGGAAGGGTTATTAACAATAAATAACTTGCATGTTGAAGATGCTACTCTTTGAACAACCTCAGTATGAAGAAACAGTTTATTTTCACCTAGACTGACGAGCTAACGGTTAGTCAGAGAGAGGTCAACGTTAAAGTGGATTTTTATCAGCCACCGTTAGGCAAACAACTAAACTAACAAAGCTGAGCAAAGGAATGGTATTTCTCCCCTAAAGGAATTATACAGATATGAAAGCACTTGTGTTTGGAGAATATTTACACAAGTATTTATTTCTTCTTTCAGCTGCTCCCTTCTTCTGGGGCCACCACAGTGAACTAACTCACATGAAGACTTGGCAATAGTTTTAACGCTGGATGACCTTACTGACTCACAGACCACCGAGCTACCACAGCCCTCTGTGTGGAGCAGAGAGCTGCTATCTAGGGCACCTGGGGGAGCAAATGGTGGGGGTTAAGGGCCTTGCTCAAGGGCCCAGAGTGGGACAAATGAGAGTGGAGTCAAGTGGAGGTGCTTCACTTTTCCCACCCACACTCCCCCATATTTAAACAAGTAAATATAAACAAAATATACAAAATACCGAAATTGAAAAATTACATGGCTAGGACTTCTGTATCCCTCTACTTCACGGTTTTTCACTTATCACGGTGGGGTATGGTCCCTAACACCCGTGATAAATGAGGGAACACTGTATGTGCATAGAGAGCAGTGGTTATTTACACGTGCAAATAGCAGCAGCAGCTACCTGTAGCACTTCCGGGGCACTACCAATTAGAATGTCATAATATTTCTACAGTAATATCCATGCACAGTAGTCCTTTGTTTATTGTCGAGGATCCATACCCTGAAGCCCTGCGATAAGTGAAAAACCGCAAAGTAGGAATAGTAGTACAAGTAGTAG